CTATATAGAAAGTAATTTTTTTTAAATTTCATTGCTTTACGTAGCTAACAATTTGTGAAATTATGTGGAATTTATTTGGTATGTCACTGAAGATAGCTGTGAATTCCTCACTGATACCTTCAGAGTGGGCGTTCTGCTTTAGTGTTATTTAATTTAGAAAACAGCTGTTTTACAACTGCTTATTTTTTGCCAAAATTCTATTTTTATTTACAGTCACAGTTTTAAATAAAACATTCCTGTGATCAGCTAATATTTCACCAAGCATTTAGCTTCTGAATTACTGGTTACTATGAAATTATTCTCTGCCATAATAATAACATACCCTACTTTCCAATAACTAATTACCTTGTGGGGGCCTTCTGCCCTGTGGCATCTGCTAAATATTAAGAAAGTCTCTGCAGGGGCCATAATGTCCAAGACTGAAATGAGTTGGCATTGCTCTAGTGGGATTACTGTGAAGATAGTTAGGACAGGAGAAGGGGACCGAGTAGTTTGGATTCTCCCGTGTCCTTTGACACATCTCATTGGAATTCAGTCTCTTAATTGGTAAACCATGGTCGGGGCCCCCTAAGCGAGGGACCTCATTTTAGCTTATGCATCTTGTCATGCCCTGAGCAGTTCCTCATGACGCCACTGTCTGTGCTTCTGTCTGGGCACCCTTTCAAATCTGGCCTTTAGTAGGCCAGGCTAAGCTAGCAGCCTTATTTGCAGAGTGGCCCAGAATTCCTAACAAAGTGTTCTGAAATACGTTTTTTAAAGTACCGAAGATTAACCCCAAAATATGTGAATTCAACAACTATGAATTCTGACAGAGAAAACTGTAGCCTGAGAGGAACTACAATAAAATTAATGAGATTTATGGTGGTTCCAAAAGAGGCGCGGGGGAGGCACAATAAAGGTCTCAGGAGACTAAGCAAAGGACCAGAAGCCAAGGATTCAAAGCAGAACAGAGCACCGCTGCGGTAACTCTGGGGATTCTGAACTGGAAAAAGTCATGCGTGTGGAAGAATAGCAGGCTGAGTTTGAAATCTTTAGGGTGCAGCCCCAGGTTAGGCCAGACGTAAGAACAGAATTTAACTTGAATAAATAGAATAAATAAATAGAATCTCATTTAATGTTCAACTTTGGGTTTGCGATTTCCATGGATATGAACTTTTATCATAGGTTTAGATTGTTGTAGGTTCATTTCTAGAATATGTTTTAATGCACTTTAAATGCATTCTAGAGCAGTACTCATTAAGCCCAGACATCACACACAGCAAAAGTAGAACATTCAATGTTATAGTCAGGCTCCAGAAGCCTGCAGAAAGTTCACGTGAGAAGCAAGTCTCCGAGAATTGCTAACGTGCGCTCTGGTTTCTTGCCGCGTGTTTTGCACGGAGGCAGCTGGGATTCTACAACGCTGTGGCCATCCCCTGCTACACCACGCTCCAGCAGATCCTGCCGCCCACCGAGCCGCTGCTGAAAGCCTGCAGGTCGGTAAAGCTGTTGCATCTC